AGCAAGAGTGAACCACCTGATCCCTTCCCGAACTCAGAAGTGAAACCTCTTAGCGCTGATGGTAGTGTGGGGTTACCCATGTGAGAGTAAGTCATCGCCAGCTTTTAAATCTAAAACACCCCGATCTCTAGCGAGAGCGGGGTGTTTTTTTATTGTAGGTTTGAAGATGTATGAGAGAGTTGTTAGATAAAATAATAAAGTGGGATGATAGACACACATTTTTAAAAATAGTATAAATATTAAAAAGTATGTGTTAGTAATCAAATTAATTAAAATCAGTTATTTATAAGTCAGTGAATAATCTATAATTTTTAGCAAGCATAATTAGGTTAAATAAATAATGGAATCAGTAAAAGCAATTATAATACCAGTTATAGCAGACTCAGTTTTAAGTCCTGATATTTACTATGGTAATGATATAACAGGAATTTATTTTTCAACACATGACGATCAATTTGGAAGAATTACATTTGATAAGTTTGATGCGATAAAAATTTGTCGTGGTGAAATGATGCCCTACAAATATGAGTGGGGAACAGATGAAAGTGGAGCTTGGGTTTTTAGAATAGAAAACTCAAAATGGTTGGATGAAAGATTCAATTATGAAAAGGAAAATTATGGACTGTCATATGGGTTTGGTGAAAATTTAAATGAAATGCTTATAGACTTTAAGCATTATCTCTTCTCATTTCATGATCAGTTTATAGAGGTGATTGCAAGAGGGTTCTGGTTTGAAAAATCTGAAGAAAGTTTATTTAAACAACCGCTTCAATCAGAACATCCATTTTCAAAGTTACCAGAAATAAACTCTACAATCTTTAAGAATGAGAAAATAAAATATAAGGTTATTTCAATCCAATTCCTCTTGAGCAACTCATTAATAATAGTCAATTTTGCCAGCAAGTATTGCTTGAAATTTCAACTGAGTTTCGAGGGGAATATTCAATTGAATATACTTTATTTCTCATGCAGCGACAGGGAAAATTAATCAGTGTATTGAGAAGCTTTTACGGAAAATCAATTTTTGAAAAAAATGGAATAGCATGTATAGATGATATAAAACTATTGATAGAAAAGGAAATATTTAAATAGTATTTATGTCAACTTTGTATGAGGTAGGTTGGTATGGAAAACTTAGTTATTTATTTTTTTGACTAACGTAAGAAGTCAAATGAGTACTTTGAAAGTCGTACAAATCCCAAAATATTGAGGAATAATTTTAAAGAGTAATGTAAGAAAATGAGAATTAAACTATATCCAAATTTTAACGAAGTTTTTATCGATGACACTCTAAAAGGGATATTTTATCCATTATGTAGCGTAGTATTGGATCAGTATCCCGAAAATGTATTCCATTTTGTTTCTTCAAACGGGCTCTGGATCAATGAAGGCTTTGAAACGGAATATAACACTTTTCATTACACTCAATTTAACCTTATAGAAAATAAATATAAATTTAAAGGCAGTAAAGAACTTTATAAAGGTGCAGAACAAGCTCAAAATATTTTTGATAGATTAGAAAAAGATTTCGAGCATAATGGAAAACATTATTTAAAGACAAAAACAAGCACGGATGATTACATTGAAAACCAAAAACGAAATCTGAACTTAAAAGCAGATGATGAGTTCGACGCAGATTATTATTTACAAACATTTTATGAGTTTTCAATTAACAAATTGAATTTTGAATTGACCAATGAATTTGGTGCGTTTAAAAATGTAATAGAGGGTTGGATTAAAAATGATCAACTTAGCTCAATTGTTTATGACATTTCTTCAAATAATTCAAGTTTTACAGACATCGAGATGAATGCTGTGTATTTATTTCCAGAAAGTATTAATATTTCTGACAATGAAAAAATAGGACAGGTTATAGGTTGTGAATTTTTTACTGATGGCAATGACAGTAATTTGCTTTACAATAAAAATGATGGAACAATCTTGAATATTAATAGTTACTCTTAGATTAAAAGCCGCTGTATGCCTAAAAAGCGGATTTGGTTGCACTTGGTGGATAATGTTATGCTAGTAAAGGCTTAAAGTCAGGCAGTAAAATAAATGATAAAACAGCAAGAAAAATTGAGTCCATTGCAAGTTGAAAAGCTATTAAAAACCTTAGCACAGCGTTTTCAGCAGCATACGGAACGACATGCACAAATGAGCTGGGATTTTGTTCAAAAACAACTTTTGCTTTGTCCTGAAAAGTTATGGGCTTTACAACAAATGGAAATGACTGGCGGTGAGCCTGATGTGGTTGTTTTACCGAACACAGAAGGTGTGTATTTTTTTGATTGTGCAATTGAGTCACCAAAAGGGCGGCGTAGTCTGTGTTATGACCGAGAGGCATTACTCAGTCGCAAGGATCATCCTCCTGAAGATACGGTGATCGATTGGGTAAATAAGCATGCCTTAGCACTAATGACGGAACAACAGTATTATGCTCTACAGCAGATCTTTAATTTTGACTTAAAAACATCCAGCTGGGTCGAAACACCAACGATATTACGTCAGCAAGGTGGGGCGATCTTTTGTGACCAGCGTTATGGGCGTACATTTACCTATCATAATGGTGCTGGCTCATATTATGCGAGTCGTGGGTTTCGAACCTATATCAAACTTTAATTGTTAAAAATTGACAGCGTGAAATCCTAAGATTCTGTCGAGTTTTTTTATATTTTGGTGTTTAGATATAACTGCTGTCATATCCTACATATTGATATTTAAGTTAATTATTTTTAGTTTTCGTTTAAGAAATTGTATGCCTATCCAACGATGAAATTCATGTTGCTAAACGAAAGATCTGTCATAGATGATGAAATGATATGTGCGCTATTTATAAGAGCGCTAAATTTATATGATCGTTACTCAGCTAATGAATATGTATTTTATAAAATGAGCTTTTGTTTTGTTGATTCGAAAAAAACGGCAAGATCACTTGCCGTTTTTTATTAAAGGTTTGGATTAGAAGTTATATTCCATACCTAAGCCAATAACAGTTTTCTTTTTCTCTGGTGTAGATGTAGTTGACCAATCACGCTTTTGTTGACCAACAACACCGTAGAAGCGAGCTTGCTTATTGATGTTGTAATCAGCGCCAATTCCGTAAAGATCTTGTTTACGATCATCACGGCCATCTAGTTCTGTTGTTGCAGAAATATATTCAGCTTTTAGCTTAATCGGTGTAGAAGGAATCGCATATGCAGCAGTGATGCCATAAGCATTTTCTTTCAAGCCTTTGAACGATGTTACTGTAGTACCAGAAGTGGTTGCAACAGTGTCATCAGACGGTTTAGCAGTTTGCCATAATGCACCAAATACTAAGCCATCAAGACCCGCAGGTTTCAAGTCTACAGAACCTGTAACACGGATTGCGTCAGAGTAGATTGTGTTGCTACCTAATTCAGAGTTATATGCATTATATTTAGATGCAACACCGAAGTTACCTGCAACAGCAGCAGCAAAACCGTAGTCTTTGTTGTCATAAGTAAGTGATGTAGAGATACCATCACCGAAACTATCACGGCTACCTTTTTGACCTTTAGCATCATTTTTTAAAGCAGATGATTCTTCACCTTGCTGGAACATGATGTTGAAAGCTAAACCAGCCAATAATTTTTTATCAGTTTCAAAACCGATCACGTTTTTTAAACGATCTTCACCAACTAAAATCGCAGTCATATCGAGTTCGTTGTGATCGTTGAAGATATCTTGGTTGTTACCAGCAGCATTTTTGAAATATGAATCAAACTGACCAACTTTTAAAGTTGCAATACCGTCTGATTTAATCCCCACGAAACGGTTACGGTTAGTGAAAGCATCGCCATCACCATCAGCACTGATTTGCCATTCTGCCAAGTAAACAGCAGACAATTTATCTGTTAATTTCTCTTCGCCTTTAACACCAATACGAGAAGCGTTAGAGTTTACTTTAGTTACGCTTTCGTCTTTAAAGCCATTCTTATCAATTTGATCTAAAGTTACGTTGAATTTACCATACAATGTTGGCGCTGCTTGAGCTGCGCTTATGCTAAGGGTGGCGATTGCTGCAGCGAGTAGCACTTTTTTCATTGAGATTTCTCCAAAACATGTTCAATGGGTTTGCAGTTACTTTTTTTATTCAGTAAGTGTGGGTTTGTGCACTACTTACTAACTTGCATGCAGTATCTGTAAACTTTGTTACATATCAGTGAAGAAAAAATGACAATTTAATGACGAAAATTTAACATTTGTGTAATTTAAATAAAAAAATGAGGCTTGATTAGCCCCATTGATTCTAAAAAGATTTTGAATTAAGCCAGTGCAGCCTTAATTTTTTCAGCAAACCCTTTAATTTTTTCCTGATCGCCCATTTGAATAGCATGACGACCTAATTCATGCACCGAGCTCGGAATCAAATGAAAGTGTACATGAGGTACAGTTTGTCCAGCAGCAGCTCCAGAAAGTTGCATCAATACAATACCTTGAGCATCTAAAGCTGTTTCAATGGCTTGCGCTATTTTTTGCACAATCTTGATTGTATAAGCAGCAATTTCAGGATCTAAGTCGAGCAATGTCACAGCTGGAGTCTTCGGAATAATCAGGGTATGCCCATCGGCTTGCGGCATGATATCCATAAATGCAAGCACATGATCATCTTCATAAACTTTAATTGCAGGAAGTTCACCACGTAAAATTCGTGCAAATATATTCTGATCATCATAAGCCATGTTTATTTCCTTGAAGGTGTGAATGTGATTATTTACAGTTCAATTCTTTCTGACGTTCCTTGATAGAGTCAAGTTTTTGCTGCTCTTTTTCAGAAAATTTAGGCTTACTTGTATAACAATTGTCATTATTATATTTTGCTTTTGCTTCAGGATCTTTAAAACAGAACCCTTTTGATGCATAAATGACATTGTAATCATCTTGCAATTTTTTACATTCTTGGGTGTTATCAGCAAAAGCGTGACTAGCCACTAAAATAGATAAACTAGAAAGTGTAGCAATTACATATTTATTCATGATACGACCTCGAAATTGACATATTTACATGTCACTTAATGTGATTATAAGGTTTAGTTGTGATTATTCAATGACGAAAAATTAATCTAATGTAATTTTGCTCCATGATTCATACATTTTTACGGCGGTAGAAAAATCGCTATCAGGCTCTGAAAGACTATTGGCTGCGGTAATTAAGCTTTGTGTTAAACCAAGAATAGGTGTTGATAATCTTGCATCACGAACTAAATCAATGGCAATACCTGTATCTTTTGCCAATAAGGGTAAAGCAAAGGTCAGTGGAAAGCTACGATTGAGGATACGTTGCGGTAGTGCAGTTTCAGTCACACCACTTTTACCACTGGATGCATTGATACAATCAAGCGCTTCATTTAAATCTACCCCATGTGCTTTCAGCGTGGTAAATCCTTCAGCGGCAGCACATAAATGAACCGCCATCATCATATTATTTACAGCTTTTACCGCAAAGCCTGCACCTGAGTCACCAACACGTTTAATTAATTTACCCATCGCCTGCATTGCAGGCAAGGCAATTTGAAACGCTTCTGCAGAACCGCCGACCATAAAGGTCAGCGTTGCATTCTCAGCACCAATGGTTTGACCACTTACAGGTGCATCTAAGAAGTGAATATTATTTTTGAGAAGATACTCAGACTGTTTACGCGCAGCATCAGGTACACCACTGGTACAGTCGACCCAAATCACGCCATTTTTGATCTTTAAATCTTGGATTAAATCATCGATATCTTGGCTGGTCGGTAAACATGAAAAAATAATATCAGCTTGCACTGCTTGATCGAGTTCGACAGCTTGAGTAGCAAACTCAGTTGCATGTTGCTTAGCCTTTGCAAAATTTCGATTCCATACATATACGGTATCAAAATGTTTGGGTAAATGTGCTGCCATACGATAGCCCATTGCGCCTAAACCAATAAATGCAACTGTAGTATTCATATCTATCTCTTAAATTTTTGTCGATCTTTGTTCTAACCATCTGGACAGTGTAGGCCAAAATTCATCTGCACTTTTTTGACTAGACATTAGCCCTAAATGTCCCCCAGGAATAAGAGTAAACGTGACATCACTACTCTTTGTCAATTCGCTTAAAGGCTTAACTGCGTCTGCGGTGACCATTTGATCATTTTTTCCAGCCCCAATCATCAATGAACAGTCGATATTGCGAAGTTCAATTTTATGGTTACTGAGCTGAATTGCCCCATTTTTCAGTGGATTTTGTAGCCAAACATTAAATAACATGTCTTGATTGACACCACCGGGGTAATCCACCATGTGATTTAAAAAATTTCCAAGGGTGGCGTGTTCATGCAAGAGCTCTTTGTCGTCTAGATTTAACAACAATTGTTTATGACCCTCATACCAACCCTTTGGATCTAAAATCTTAAAACCAATGGCATTGAGTAAGCCCGGGGTATGTATCAGTTTTTTCGGTAAACCACCTTTATATAACGTATCTTTCAGTTTTTGATTCTTTATAATCAAATTATTTATTTTTTGATAAAGTTTACCGATGCCACCCGATGCATAACTGTCAATTGGGCTGGCCAGTATAATTAAGTTTTTAACATAATTGGGTTGACGTAATGCCGTGTAAAGTAATACAAAAATGCCGGCCATGCTCCAGCCATGCAATGAAATTTGCTCACTTTGAGCATGTTCTCGGATTTTATTAATGCATAGCGGCATAGCTTCATCAATAAAATATAAAAAGTTTAAATTGCGATCCTGATAACTGAGTTTTCCCCAGTCCAATAAATACACATCATAGCCTTGTTCGGTAAAATATTTAATAAGTGAACGATAAGGGTAGAGATCGTAAATTGCCATATTGATCGACAATGGCGCAGTAAAAACCAAAGGTTCCTTAAATTTTTTTTCAGCAGCTGCGTAGTAACGCACTTTGGTTTGATGATGCTCTGCAATAATTTCATAAGGGGTACTTTGAGATAAAACCAATGACTTACCATTGAAGATACGTGTGGTTAGATTCTTCAATTTGGATTTGCGCTGTTGGAACTTAGCTGATACTTGTGTCATAAGCGGTGTTTGTCTCATTTTTATGCAGATTTAAGCGAAGTGTATGTGATAATTTACGATTTTACCTTGACCTTAAATACATAGGGCGCTCAAAATGTTGGCAATATTTTACAAAGGCAGTTTTTGGACTGAGTAGTTGAAATGAGCCAGCACGACGACATTGAATACCAACTTGATACTTTAGCGATTCGTACAGGTCATACACGCAGTTTTGAAGGTGAACATAGTGAGCCAATTTTCCTCACTTCGTCATTTGTGTATGAAAATGCAGCGGAAGCAGCAGCAAAATTCTCTGGTGCTGAACCAGGTAATATTTATTCACGTTTTACCAATCCAACTGTAGCAATGTTTGAAACGCGTTTAGCTGCACTAGAAGGTAGTGAACGGGCTGTGGCAACAAGTTCAGGTATGGCTGCAATCATGGCCGTTGCAATGTCGTTCTTAAAAGCAGGCGATCATGTGATTTGTTCACGTGCTGTTTTTGGTTCTACAGTTTCATTATTTGAAAAATATGTTGCTAAATTTAATGTCGCAGTGACTTTTGTTGATTTAACTGATTTAACCGCTTGGCAAGACGCGATACGTCCTGAAACTCGATTACTGTTTGTTGAGTCACCTTCAAATCCATTGGCTGAAGTCGCAGATATTCAAGCATTATCAGATTTAGCACATGCAAATGATGCTTTATTGGCGATTGATAACAGTTTTTGCACACCAATTTTGCAGCGTCCATTACAATTTGGTGCAGATTTAGTGATTTACTCTGCCACCAAATATCTAGATGGACAAGGTCGTGCACTGGGTGGTGCTGTGGTCGGTAATCACAAATTACTTGAAGAAATATTTGGTTATGTTCGTACCACTGGCCCATCTATGAGTCCATTCAATGCATGGGTCTTTTTGAAAGGTTTAGAAACCTTAAGACTGCGTATGAAAGCGCATTCTGAAAGTGCACAAAAAATTGCCGAGTGGTTGGTTGCTCATCCAAAAGTGGAAAAGGTTTATTTTGCTGGCTTAACAGATCATGTTGGGCATGAGTTAGCAGCCAAACAACAAACTGGTTTTGGTGGAATCGTTTCTTTTGAAGTGAAAGGTGAACGAGAAGGTGCTTGGAAAGTTATTGACCATACACAATTTATCTCGATTACAGGTAATTTAGGTGATGCTAAGTCAACAATTACCCATCCAGCAACAACGACTCATGGTAAGCTTTCTCCTGAAGCAAAAGCAGCAGCGGGTATTCGTGAAGGTTTAATCCGTTTGTCTGTTGGCTTAGAAGATGTCGATGATATTATCCGTGACCTTTCTCATGGATTAGATTTAATTTAAGATAAGCAAAATTTGCAAAAGAGTTTCTTTCATTTTCTTCTAGGCTTTTAAAAAACTAGCCATGAAAGTGCAAGACAGAGATTTAATTTAGGACTTTTGTTCGGAGTATTTTATGAACATTAATATGCTTATGCAGCAAGCGCAACGTATGCAGAAAGATATGGAAAGCAACGTTAAAAAGGCAAAAGAACAACTTGCCCAAACTGAAGTGAATGCTGAAGCTGGTGGCGGTTTGGTAAAAGTAACAATGACTTGCCGTAATGTTGTTAAGCGTATCGAAATCAGTCCAGATTTGTTACAAGACGATCCAGATATGATTGAAGACTTGATTGCAGCAGCAATGAATGACGCGGCTCGCCAAGCTGAAGTCATTACAGAAGCGAAGATGAAAGAAGCCAATTCAGGTATGGGTTTACCACCAGGTCTTTCAGGTTTGTTCTAAGGAATCATAGGTGTTTAGCGACCGTTTTGATCAACTCGTACAAGCTTTACGAATCTTACCCAGTGTTGGGCCGAAATCGGCTCAACGTATGGCACTCCATCTGATCATGAAAAATAAAGAAGGTGCTATTGGTTTGGCGCATGCACTAAACGAAGCAACTTCCTATATTCATGAGTGTAGTGTTTGTCATTCTTTAACTGAAAATGAAGTCTGTGATATTTGTTGCTCAAATGATCGGGATGATCAGCTGCTTTGTGTGGTTGAGTCTCCTGCAGATGTAATGGCAATAGAACAGTCTGGTAGCTTTAGAGGCAAATATCATGTATTGGGTGGACATTTGTCGCCTTTAGATGGTATTGGTCCTGAAGAAATAGGTATTCCATATCTAGTGCAGCGTTTAACCGATGGTAAAATTACGGAAGTAATTTTAGCCACCAATGCAACTGTAGAAGGGCAAGCGACTGCGCATTATCTTGTAGAAGCGACAAAACATTTGTCTTTGCAAATGACACGGATCGCACAAGGTGTGCCACAAGGTGGTGAATTGGAATATGTGGATAGTCATACGTTGAGTCAGGCTGTTCATAATCGCATGAGAATGAAATAGCGATCTTAGACTTGCTACCATTTAGAGTTTGTTGAGCTTGGATGTTTAGCGCAAATGCGATAACGATTAAAAGATCAACAAACTCTGTCTCATTTAAAAATTATTTACATTCAATCTAAATTTTTTAGGTAAACTCAAGCTAAAGCAATGATTAGCCATGTTATTTATTACTTTAAAATATACTTTTATTAAGTTGTAAAACCTATATATAAAATAAATATTCACAAGAAACTTTATTGAAAAATAAGGTGTTTACGGAGAATTAGTTTAAAAATATTATATTTAAATTTTATATATTAAGGTAAAATCATATTTCATTTGAATGTAACATTTTGACTTAAACTGACATGTTTCAATTTATTAATCAACAGACCGATCTCGAACATGTGTTGAATTTGATGCAACATACTTCGACTTATGGTCTAGACACTGAATTTATTAAAGTCGACACACTTTGGCCAAAACTCGGTGTATTCCAAATTAATGTCAATGGTCAAGTATTTTTGCTCGACGGCACAACCTTAAATTTAGATCGCTTTTGGTTTCAACTTTTTCAAGCACAGCAAAATATTTTTCATGCTTGTGGAGAAGATATTGATCTCATTTATCATTATGCAGATCAGAAAAATCTGAAGAATGTCTTCGATACCCAAGTGGGGTTGTCTTTTTTAGGACATGGTCTACAAGTCAGTTATCAAAATGCATTGAAATTGGTGTTAGAGATTGATATTGATAAAGATCAAACACGTTCAGATTGGCTGGCTCGGCCGTTAACAGATGAACAAATGAATTATGCAGCCAATGATGTTTTATACATTATGCGTTTGGCTGAAAAAGTAAAAGCAGAATTGGTCGAGAAAAGCTTATATTCACATGTGCTTGAAGATTGTCAAAATTTAACCTTTGAAATCGCTTCAGAAACTCCAAAAGAAAAATTATATTGTGATATTGGTAATTATCGTCATTCCAGAAAACAATTGATGCAATTGCAACAATTAAGTGTTTGGCGTGAAGAAATGGTCAAAGCACTCAATCAACCACGTAGCTTTATTCTAAAAAATGCCACGATGATTGATTTGGTTGAAGTCAATCCTAAAAATAATTTTCAATTGTCCTCTGTGAAGGGAATACGTCCAAATATTGTGCGTGAACATGGAAAAACAATTTTAGATTTATTGAAGTTTCTGCCTGAAACCGATGAGTGGCCACTGCGTATTGCACGACCAATCAAGCATTCTTCTCAGGGAATCACCCTTGAAGTAGATGAGTTAATTTCTCAGGTTTCATTTGAAATGCAAGTACCTAAAGAAGTACTTATGCGTAAAAAATGGTTAAATGCCTTGTATCATCATGTGGTATTTCATGGCATTGAACAGGATTTACCTGGTTATTTGTTGGGGTGGCGCTATGAATTGCTTACCCAGCCACTTATCCATCTGTTACAAGAAGATATTAAGTTTTTAAGTATGCAGATGAAGGTCAATGAATAGCGGCTGTTGCTGCTGTTGTTTAGATGAATAATCACCAATAGCCAAGAAAGCTTACTGTGTTATTGTTGATCAAAGATTTAGCAATTGGACATAAATAACGACTGACGCGTTAACTTTCGATAATGTATCCGTCGTTTTTTTCATGTATGCTGTCAACTAAGTTTTACTGAAGCTGTTGTTTAAAATGCATTGTGATATTTATAAATCGAGCAAAAAAGATGAAATGTATCTTTATGTGGCTCGCCCAAATCATCCAAATACAGACGAAAGTGCAGATCCCTTAGCGGCTCTTTCTGAGCCACTACGTGTTGCCTTTGGTCGTGCAACGCATGTAATGCATCTTGAACTGAGCGAAGCTCGACCTTTGGCACGTGTAAATGTGTTACATGTAATCGATTCACTCAATATAAAAGGCTTCTTTATTCAAATGCCGCCAGAAGGTTTAATTAACCCAAATGCGGTTGAACCAGAGGGATTACGTGGTGCTTGATCAGTTATCAGGAATATGGGCAAATTTTTTAGATCTATTTGATGCTATCCCAGAAGATAATATCGCAATAACCGTCTATATTCTTGGGACGCTGTTGATTTTATGGTGCTGGTATTCGATTTCAAAACGATTGCCATCGCCACTTGGCGGTATTACATGGATCATTGTATTTGCCGTTCTTGCAACCCCGACCATTTCTGAAGGACCAAACTCAGCGATTGCGCCAGCAATATTTGGACTGTTATTTGGTATTCTTACCAAGGATTCACCATTGATTTGGTCAAATCTTGCCTTAATTACATTTGTCATGGGTATTGGTTTAGTCATTGGATTTTTTTGGTCTAAATACAAAACCACGAAAAATACCCAAGCAAGCGCTGTAGCAAAAAATATTTCACCACTTTAAATAAAAAATAAAGGTAAGTTATGTCTGTCGATTCTCAACAATTCACAGGTACTGAACAGTATATCGCAACGGATAGTTTAAAACTGGCTGTAAAAGCAGCTCGAGCATTGCAAAAGCCATTATTGGTGAAAGGCGAACCTGGTACAGGTAAAACCTTATTGGCTGAACAAGTTGCTGAGAGTCTAGGTCTTAAATTAATTACTTGGCACATTAAATCTACAACCAAAGCACAGCAAGGTTTGTATGAGTATGATGCAGTTTCTCGTTTACGTGATAGCCAGTTGGGCGATGACCGTGTTTACGATATTAAAAACTACATCAAACCAGGTAAGTTGTGGGATGCATTTACCAGCGAAGAACGCTGTGTATTGTTGATTGATGAAATAGACAAAGCAGATATTGAATTTCCAAATGACTTGCTGCATGAATTAGACAAAATGTCATTTTTTGTCTATGAAACAGGCGAAACCATTACCGCAACCCAACGTCCAATCGTAATCATTACTTCAAATAATGAAAAAGAACTGCCAGACGCATTTTTACGTCGTTGTTTTTTCCATTATATTGAATTTCCTGATGAAGCAACGATGCGTGAAATTATCGCAGTTCATTTTCCAAATATCTCTGGAACATTGGTTTCAGAAGCATTACAAGTCTTCTTTAAATTACGTCAAGTGCCTGGCTTAAAAAAACCACCTTCAACATCTGAATTGATTGACTGGTTAAGCTTGTTAATGGCAGATGATATGCCAGAAGACATTTTGCGTAATCATGATAAATCAAAAGCGATTCCACCTTTATATGGTGCATTGATTAAAAATGAGCAAGATGTACAGTTGCTTGAACGCTTAGCCTTTATGTCACGTCGTTAATGAGGAGATCGCAACATGTTTGTGCGATTATTTTATACCCTCAGAAAATATGGTGTTCCAGTTTCAACACGAGAACTCATTGATCTAAACCAAGCAATTAGTGAAGGCTTGGTTTTTGCCGATCAAGATGATTTTTATCAATTAGTAAAGACAGTCATGGTCAAAGATGAACGCTTCTTTGACAAATTTGACCGTGCCATGAAAGATTATTTTGAAGGTATCCATACTTTTGATATCGATGATCTGCTCAGCAAAGTTCAAAAACTTCCCAAAGACTGGTTTGATTTAGAGTTACTTGAAAAACATCTCACACCTGAACAGCGTGCTGAATTGCTGAAAGCAGGTTCGCTTGAAGAACTGATGAAGATGTTGGAAGAACGCTTGCGTGAACAACATAAAAAACATCAAGGTGGCAACCGTATGGTTGGCACAGGTGGAACTTCACCTTTTGGTGCTTTTGGTGACCATCCTGAAGGCGTGAGAATTGGTGGCCCGAGCCGTAAAAATTCAGCAGTAAAAGTTTGGGAACAGCGTAAATATCAAAATTTAGATGATGAACAAATTTTAGGTACTCGACAAATGCAAATGGCTTTACGTCGATTACGTAAGTTTGCTCGTCAAGGCGCTGCAGAAGAATTAGACATTAACAGCACCATTTATGAAACTGCCAAACAGGGCATTTTAGATGTACAAATGGTGCCTGAACGGCGTAACCGAATTAAAGTTTTGATGTTGTTTGATGTGGGGGGATCGATGGATTCACACATTGCACAATGTGAAAAATTGTTTAGTGCGGCAAAAACTGAATTTAAAACCTTAGAATATTTTTATTTCCATAACTGTCTATATGACTATGTGTGGAAAGATAATCATCGTCGTTCTTCTACCCGAATGAATACATGGGATTTATTCAATACCTATGGTAAAGACTATCGTGTAATTGTGGTGGGTGATGCAAGTATGGCACCTTATGAGCTGAAATCGGTCGGTGGTTCTGTTGAATATATGAATGATGAAGCAGGAGACGTATGGTTACGCCGCTTGCGCAATCATTTTGAAAAAACAGCATGGTTAAATCCAGAAGAGCAAGGTTATTGGCATTACACGCAAACCATCGCATTAATTAAACAATTATTCGACGATCATATGTTTCCAATGACCCTTAAAGGTATTGAGGATATGACGAAATATTTGTCACGATAAATTATTCTCAAGCAAAGTTGTTATTCATAAATTCAACGGCTGATTTATTAAATAGGGAAAGAAATGGATCATCAAATAAATGGTATTGCATTACCAAATGAACAAGGCTTTTTTGGTGAATATGGTGGTCAATTTATTCCACCTCATTTAAAAGAAGCAATGGATGAAATCAATGTTGCATATGAAGAAATCCGTAAAACGCCTGAATTTCAAAATGAATTGGCTGATTTATTTGCCAACTATGTAGGTCGTCCTAGTCCTTTATTTCATGCAAGACGTCTTTCTGATCAATTGGGTGGCGCACAAATCTATTTAAAGCGTGAAGACTTAAATCATACAGGCGCACACAAAATTAACCATTGTTTAGGTGAAGCTTTGCTTGCCAAATATATGGGAAAAACCAAAGTAATCGCAGAAACAGGTGCTGGTCAACATGGTGTTGCACTTGCAACCGCGTGTGCTTTGGTCGGCATTCCATGTGAAATTCATATGGGGCAGGTGGATATTGAGAAAGAGCATCCCAATGTCGTGAAAATGAAAATTTTGGGTGCAAAATTGGTTTCAGTCACTCAAGGTACTGCAACACTGAAAGATGCTGTAGATAGCGCATTTGAAGAGTATTTAAAAGACCCTAAAAACTTTATTTATGCGATTGGTTCTGTGGTTGGACCACATCCTTTCCCAAAAATGGTACGTGATTTCCAATCTATTATCGGCAATGAAATTAAAGTTCAAACCCAAGATCGCTTTGGCGCACAACCAGATTATGTGGTTGCGTGTGTAGGCGGTGGCTCAAATGCAATTGGCGCATTCACGGCATTTTTAAATGATGCAGAGGTTAAACTGGTTGGTGTGGAACCTGCAGGTCATGGTCTGGATACTCAACAGCATTCAGCAACATTGACTTTAGGAAAGCCAAGTCAGATTCATGGTATGGCTTGTTATGTACTAGAAGATGAACAGGGCGCACCATTGCCTGTGCACTCGATTGCATCTGGTTTGGATTATCCGGGTGTAGGCCCTCAACATAGCTTCTTAAAAGATTTAGGCCGTGTGGAATATTCAACAGCAACTGATCAAGAGTGTTTAGATGCGTTTATGACCCTTTCGCGAGTAGAAGGGATTGTTCCTGCATTAGAAAGTTCTCATGCTGTGGCGTGGGCAATTCGTGAAGCGCCTAAATTAGCGAAAGAAATCAAAATTGTTGTAAACCTTTCAGGGCGTGGTGATAAAGATGCCGACTATGTTGCTGAGAAGCTAAACCTAAACTGATGATTAAAAATTGATTGATCTAAAAACCTAGCTTTGGCTAGGTTTTTATGTTTTCGTTAAATTTGAAATTCAGCCTTAGTTTTTATTTAATGAACTCGATTGTTTATCCCCGTGATAAATGAAGATATGCAACTCAAAGCTGGTGATTATTTCTATTATCTTGAAATTTAAAAGAGGTTTTACATGCAAGCTGAGCTGCCAATTTTCTATACACAATAAAAACCCTCCATCTGGAGGGTTATATTTTTATAATGTCACTTAACCTGAAATATATTGTCTTAACTGTTCAATCAATTTTCTTTGATCTTCCATCGTAGCTTTGACTAAATCGCCAATAGAAACAAATCCAACCAGCGTTTCACCTTCAATCACAGGTAAATGGCGTAGGTGTCCGTCAGTCATTAAATTTAAACATTCTTCAACAGTATGGCCACGTGTCACAGAAATCACTCTAGACGTCATAATTTCAGCGACCGTTGTATGGTCAGAGGTACGCTGCATAAGCGCAATTTTACGCGTATAGTCGCGTTCTGAGAGGATTCCGACGACCTTTGTATCTTGAGTGACAACCACAGCACCAATACCTTTGTTTGCCATAAGTGTAATGGCTTCTAATACTGTGGCAGAGGGTGAAATCGTATAAATTTCACGACCAATCTTATCTTGGATTACTTGTGCTACTGTCGTCATAATTATTCTTCCTTTTCTAGGGTGCTTACCAATCTGCACACCTTTAACTTAACTGTATTTTTTAACTTTGCAAATACTTTGCAGTCATAAAAATATAAAGTTTATTTTTTACAACAATTTTAAACCACTAAAAATATATCTTCGACTTTAAGCCGGTTGAAATTGAACATGACTATGGAAAAAGAAATGTTCCATTTGAGAGGTTGAGAGTTTAAATTTTCGAGATGAGGAATTAAACAATGCAGGCATGATATTGAGCCGTGTTAATGTAGGTAACAGCGATTCTCTAAAATCTTTAGGTGTTATTCTGCGAGGGGTGTAGTGAGGCCAATGAATCTTTGCATACTGATGGGCTTGAACAGCGTTTAGCCAAAAAGGAAAATAAACTTCATTAGAGCCAGACTTCATTGCCCAGCCATCATGGTAAAGTCCCCAAAGTACACCACAATACATGAGTGATTTTAAAATAGAAATTTTAATAAACAATTCATTCGAAATGGGCTGAAGATGAATATACTTTTTCATAATTAACAATCTTATTTAGTACATTGCCTATTGTAGTTGAAATTCTTATAAGAACTGTTAGTGCTTTATGCTCAATCGTAAGCATTTATTAAAACAATAAAAAATGTATTGAAAACGTAATGATTGATTAAAAATAAAAAGGATAGGGGTTAAAAAAACGCCACCTAGGTGACGTTTTATTATGCTTGCATGGTTGCCATCTTTTGCCAATATTGGGCTTTTAGAGAATCACGTTCAACACGGAAACCTTGGTAGTAAAGTTCTGCAAGAAACATTGCCGCTTTACCATGACCCGCTTTCGCCGCATCTTCTAATGCTTTTACCGCTTCTACAAAGTTCATTTCACACTGGATTGTATTTACAGCATCTGCATAAACATGTTCTAAGTCTTGGTGAGAGATTTGATGAATCATATATAACTCCTTATTGTAATTATGATCTTTTAACATAGCTCCCCAACGGAGCTTATACTTAACTAATCTAACTTAACTTTATTAAACTAATATTACAATTAGCCTTGTTTGTCAAGCGATTTGAAATCTATGCTTGACGAATATAAGATTACATGATTAAACATTAATCAGAAATAATATTTATTAAAATCAATATGAGAATTAAGACAAAGGGAGAGCAAAATGACAAACACTATAGATGGCTTTATTTTTGATGTACCCGCTGCTGAGTCTCAGATCGTAGAATTAGCTCAGTATCACCGTAAACAACTGGATGAGGCAATTTATCATCAAGAAATCCATCTTGGGGATTATTGTTTAGCCCAGCGTAAACGCGTGTACGATTATACCCGAAACTTAAATCCAGTGCAAAAAGCAGGCTTTTACCGGATCTATGATGGTGAATTAAGGCGTCTTGCTGATGATGATGATTTGCATCCAGCGCATGCAGAGGGTGGAGTGAGTATCTTTGCTGTCAGTATTGCATTGGCAATTATTGCGATCATTTTGTATTTTGCATTTTTGAGAGCAATTATTTAATCATGCAATTTATGCGTTAAGCGCTATTGTTCTCTAAACATTCATAAAGCTCTCGTCTTTTATTAGAGGAGAGCTTTCATTTTGTCGATAAATTATTTTTGCTGTTGCAGAGTTTGTCTGTTACGGTTTGCTTGGCATATTTCCTCAAGATATCAATGATGATTGAAGATGGCTGTATACTTGAGAATACAGATAAAATGTAGTTTAGAAAGCGCTATATTTTTATGATCAGAGTGATAAACTATCCATAATTAGAGGTAGTTCATGCGTAAATTCAAAGATTATTTTCAAAAATTGTATAGTTCTTTTCCTGTGGAAAATATCTTGAATTCCCTTGTGGTGATCATCAGTGCAAGTACGATCTTTCTCGCAATATTGGCTTTAACACGGCCAATTAATCCAGATCAATACAAATATGTGGTGCAATATTCACAACAAGCAGCCAATCCTAAGACGCAAAAGATTGCCCATCAATTGCGCAGCCAAGATCGTATTTATGTGGTTGAATATTTACGCCTACTACGTGCCTATCATTTTGAAAACCAACAGGTAAAACGATATCCTGCGGTGGATAGTAAAGATCCACAATAACTGGCAATACTCATTTGGCTGGTTCCGCTTGCGGGCGAATTGTTTTTTGAATGATCAATGTCGGGACATCCGGCATGGCTTGTGTATCCACTTGCTTGTTTTGATTTGTACTGGATTGATCTGGGTTGGCTAAATCAGCACTTAACATGTCTTTTAATTCATTCTGATCCAGTGTTGGTGCAACAACAACCAAGGTGAGACGATCCGCACGAAGATGTTTTTGAATGGCTTTTTGAACTTGTTTGGTGGTGACTTGGCTCAATTGCTTTTGATATTGGGTCAAATAATCCGCAGGAAGTTGATAAAAACCAATCGATGCGATTTGTGCATTGATATTGGCATTGGAACTAAAGGTCATTGGGAAAGAACGTAACATACCTTCTTTGGTTTCTTCGAGCTGTTTTCTTTGGATTGGATTTTTTACAAAATCACGTAAGGCTTGATGTGCAACTTTGATACTGTCCATCAATTGATTTTGTTCAGTGGAATAACTCAAACTGAAAAAACCCTGAGCCAATGTGGAGGTCAAATTACTATAAGCTCCATAGGTATAGCCACGTTTAACCCGAAGTTCTTTCATTAAAATGGAATTAAATCCGCTTCCGCCAAACATTAGATTAGCGACTTCTAATGCAACACGATCTGGATCACTGCGCTGAATAGCCAAGTGTCCCATCATCACATTGGCTTGCGTTGAGTTAAACGGAATGTAATGGATATTAAAATCACTTTGATCTTGTGGTTCAGGAAGTGCTTGTGCAGCTTCACCTTGGGTTAGATTTTGACTGATTAAATTGGCCAGTTGGGTTGCATCGGCTGAAGTTAAATTACCAGTAATCGCAATATTCATGTTTTGGGCGACAAGCAGTTTTTGTCGATAAGCCCTAAGTAGTTCTGGGGTAATTTTTTTAAGGCTCCCATTGGTCCCCACAGTCGGTTCGGCATAAGGATGTTGTCCATATAACGCACGATAAAAGCGAATATTCATAATCCGACTTGGATTTTCTTGGATTTGCTTTTGCCCAACCTTGGTATTATTTAGCACAAGATTTAAACCCGATGGATTAAATTGTGCATGATTCAGCACATGCAACATGGTATTGATAGCAGGGTTTAATTTTTCAGGATCTGACAAGACCCGGAGTCGGACGACAAACATATCACGGTACGCGGTAACGCTAAATTGAGCGCCTAATCCTTCAAATGTGGACGCGATTTCTTTTGCTGTGTATTGATCTGTGCCTTCAGTGATCAGCTTGGCTGCCATATTTGCCATACCATACAGACCTTTTCCTAGTGCTTCATCCTGTGACGAACCTGCATTAAAGGTGAGTTGAATATCCACAATAGGCAGGTCTGTGGCTGAAACAAACAGTGTTCTGACTTTTTGGTTGTTGGAGAGGTCTTGAACAAAGGGCGCTTGGTATTGTTGATGTTTATCTAAATTTTTTAAGCTCTGTAAGGTCGAATTTGCTTTAAGTGCTGAATCATCTATAACAGCATCGGTTTCATCATGATTATCTAACTCAACCTCTGCATGGTTAAGAGGAGAGTAGAGTAAGCTGATGAACACAAACAAGGGTATTTTTATCGAATAGGTCGAGAATGGATTAAAATTCATGAGAGATCCTTTTTTATTTTTTTGTACTTTCAGGCATTAAATACAAACTACTTAGATTGGCTTTGACAAAATAAATATTGGCAATTCGTTGTAAATCTTGTGGTGTCACTTTGTCATAATGTTTGGGTAATTCATCCATTAAACGAAAACTTAGGCCGTTTACTTCCAAATTCCCAATCATATTGGCTTGTCCACCAATATCATCCTGACTATAGATTAAATTTGAAACGAAGTTGTTTTTGACACGATCGAGTTCAGCTTGATTGACCAATTCTGTTTTAAATAAATTCATCTCTTTTTCAATCGCTTTTTGTGCCTCATCCAGAGAAACATCATCACTTGGGATCGCGGAAATCATAAATAAACTGTCGCCACGATTATAGGGGTCATAACTGACACTGATTGCGGTCAGCACTTTTTTATCTCGAATCAGACGGTCTTGTAAGCGTGCGGAGATTCCGCCATCCAGTAAGGACTGGATAATCGTTAGTGCGTAGGCATCTTGTGGGTTTTTTGCTGTAGCAATGGATTTGACATTCCAAGCCATAAACAAGTTGGGGACTTGTACTGGCAACTGCACTTCCATATGCCGATACCCCATTCGATCAAACTCTAAAACATCATTACGGTCAGGAAGTTCCTTTTTTGGAATTGCCGCAAAATATTTTTCAACCTGTTTAAGTGCTTGTTCTGCATTGACATCTCCCACAATGACCAAAGTCGCATTATTGGGGGTGTACCAAGTTTGATACCAATGTTTAAGATCGTCCAGACGAATATTCTGTAGGTTTTTCATAAAGCCAATCACTGGTTGACGATGGTGACTGGTTGGATAGGCGATCCATTTAAAACGTTCGTAGGCTAGATTTCGTGGATTATCATCTGTCCGTTGTCGTCTTTCCTCCATAACCACTTTGATTTCAGGATCAAAGTCTTGTTGTTTGAGGACCAGATTTGTCATACGGTCTGCTTCAAGTTCCAAAGCCAATGGAAAATACTTCTTGGGGTAAAGCTGATAATAGTTGGTGTAATTTGTATATGTGGCGGCGTTGGTACGGCCACCATAAATTCGACTCAAGCGTGCAAACTCATCATCCGGAACTTTTTTGGTTCCTTTAAACATCATATGTTCAAGCACATGTGAAATACCAAGTACATTACCTGACTCATCACTACTTCCCACGCCGTACCAAATTTGGGTCATAACAATTGGTGAACGATGATCCTCACGGATAATCACTTTTAAACCATTTTTCAGTGTGGTTTCAAAGGTGGTCCTAGAAAGTTGGCTTTGAGGTGCTGCCTGAAGTTGCATATTTACCGTGGTAAAAGATAAAAATAAGAGTGGCGCAAGGATAACTTTGGATTGTCTAAGAAGATTTAAGAATTTAGATTTCAGAATATACACAGATAACCCAAAAATTTATTTTAAATTTAGAACTATTCTTAAAAAATTAATGATTTAAAGCAAGGCTGGAATGTTGCATTTTGGTTTGCTTGTTTTATCGCTGCTTTAACGCTAAAAATGATGCAATCTATGCTAAACTCATTCTTTTTTAACGCTATGCTTTTCAAGGAATCGGCATGCAAGAACAGCAAAATAAATTCTTGATTGATGCGGATATCGGGGATGACGATGTCACATTACCTAGTTTACCAGCCGTCAATGTGCCTATTATTGAAAATAATGTAGAAACACCTAAAACGGAACCTATTCAAACTGAGAGCCAAGATGCACAGATTGAATCGGCAGATGAAAAATCTAAAGGTGGCTTTTTTAGCCGCATGAAAGAAGGTTTGACCAAATCGCGTAAAAGCCTTGCCGATGGTATGGTCAATATTCTGATTGGTGGTAAAGAAATTGATGATGAGTTGCTCGAAGAAGTAGAAGAGCAACTTTTGGTTGCTGATATCGGGGTAGAGGCGACTAAAACCATTATTGCGAATTTGACTGAGCGTACAGAACGTGGTGATTTGATTTACTCACATTCATTGTATAAAGCGCTACAAGAAGAGCTGGTTGCTTTACTTGCACCTCGGGTAAAACCATTGCATATCGATCCTAATAAAAATCCATTTGTGATTTTGGTGGTGGGTGTAAATGGTGTGGGTAAAACCACCACGATTGGTAAATTAGCCAAACGTTTACAAGGTGAAGGTAAGAAAGTCATGCTTGCAGCAGGAGATACCTTCCGTGCAGCGGCAACTGAACAACTTCAAATCTGGGGTGAACGTAACAATATTGCTGTCGTGGCTCAAGGTCATGGTGCAGATAGTGCTTCAGTCATTTTTGATGCCTTTGAAAGTGCACGTGCCAAAGGTGTGGACGTTTTAATTGCTGATACAGCAGGGCGTTTGCATAATAAAAGTAACTTAATGTCTGAGTTGACTAAAGTAAAACGTGTGATGCAAAAAATTGATGCAACTGCGCCACATGAAGTGATGTTGGTGGTGGATGCTGGTACTGGTCAAAACGCGATTAACCAAGTTGAAATGTTTGACGAAGCTGTAGGCTTAACAGGTTTAACCATTACCAAATTAGATGGAACGGCAAAGGGTGGTGTGTTGTTTAATATTGCCAGTCGTACTCATGTACCAATTCGATATATTGGTGTGGGTGAGAAGATTGATGATTTACGTCCATTCTCTGCAAAATCATTTGTCGCTGCACTGTTTGAAACAGATAAGTAATTTAGAAAACTATTTATCTTAAATGAGACTCCGCTTTATGCGGAGTTTTTTATTTTCTAAGATTGGGATGATTGATGGTGGTATGTTATTGAAAGAAGGCATCATAAGAATGTCATCAAGTTGCACTTTAATGCGATGTCTAGAATCGTATGTCCAGATTTGCAATATTTTTACCACAAAACAAGCAATGAAAAGTATATAGGATATTTGCCATATTCTTATCGTTGTAAAGCTCAAAGCAACAGGCTGAGTTTAATGGTGAATTTTAATTGAATTGTTTGATTAATAAATACTTTAATTGCAATTTAAAAAGGGGACCACATAAACACGATGGCATTTATAAATGCCCGATTTTACATATTGTTCTAAATATAGAACACATTGTTATGTATATAAGCATGACGAAACTAAGAATGATGCAATACACTCAAACCATGTTAAATAACACGACCCATCTGGTCATAGAAGGATTAACACCATGTCATTTTTAAATCAAATCAAACAACGCCGTACAATTTATGCAATTGGTAGAGATTTAAGTTTAGACCAAACGAAAATTGAAGAAATCATCAAAGATGCAATCAAGCATAGCCCATCTTCATTTAACTCACAGTCTTCTCGTGCTGTGATTTTATTTGGTGATTCACATGTTAAATTCTGGACAATCGTTTTAGAAACTTTACGTAAAATCGTTCCAGCTGAAGCATTTGAAGGAACTTCGGGTAAAATTAACAGCTTTATCGCTGGTACTGGTTCAGTGTTGTTTTATGAAGATTTAAGCGTGATCAAAGCTTTACAAGAACAATTCCCATTATATGCAGACAATTTCCCAGTATGGTCTGAGCATTCAACAGGTATTGCACAATTTGCAACTTGGACTGCATTGGCTGAAGCTGGTATTGGTGCATCTTTACAACACTATAACCCAATCGTAGATGAAGAAGTGGCGGCAACATTTGATGTACCTGCTGACTGGAAACTTCGCGCACAATTAGTATTTGGTTCAATCGAAGCACCAGCGGGCGAAAAAACATTCATTGATGATGCAACACGTTTTAAAACCTTTAACTAAGTGAAGCATTTAGTTTTAAGCTGAGGTCTATCGCTTATTTAGCTTAGACCTTGCTATTCCAGAAACCTGTTTAGAATGGAAATTTTAAACAGGTTTTTTTATGCGTAGCACTTTATCCCATCTTGTCGCCAGATAATAGATAGACGCTGTATGATTAAGTGAGACAAATGTATTTGCACAGCCATGTATTACAATGAAAAGTTTAAATTTAATTTGTGTAGGCGATACCCCAGCTACACCTTGTAGGATTAAATAATGTAAAAAAGCATAAGTGGTTTAAAAAAATATGCGATTCCATCTTGTTGCTAAAGATTCTAATCATCTAAATTGAAACAATAAGATGAGATTTGAACAAACAGAAAAAAATATAAGTGAATCGAACAATTCTTTACACAGAATTATGGATTGGTTTTATCGACATTTAGCGCTATTCATGGCTTAATCTTTGCTCAAGGAATAAAAGTGTATAAAAAAATGGGGAAATTAGGGTTGATTCAGCACTTTGGTCTAATTTAGACATTTTAAAAAATTTATACACTGTTAAAAAGCGATTTAAGTTGATGATTTAGTTGATGGTGTTGCTGTATTTTTGATCGTTATTTTTTAAGTTAATGTCGCTATTTTTTTAATTAAAATGATCACTATTTAGCAATGTGATAGTACTATTCAGCATGGTTTAAATCGGTATACTAGAAACTCTTGTTATAAAAAGTAGCAATATCAGGAAAGACAATGACTGCACGTATTCAAAAAGGCAAGTTAGCGATTGCTAAAGAACTTTACGATTTCATCGAAAATGAAGCACTACCAGGTTCTGGTTTAGATAGTGAAACATACTGGAAAAACTTTGAGCAAGTTGTTGTCGATCTTAGCCCTAAGAATAAGGCGCTTTTAGCGAAGCGTGACGAGATTCAGGCTAAAATTGATGAATGGCACCGCAACAATAAATTTGAACTTCAAGCTTATAAAGCTTTCCTTAAAGAAATTGGCTACTTATTACCAGAAGTAGAAGATTTTCAAATCAGTACAGAAAATGTAGATGAAGAAATCGCATTATTGGCTGGTTCGCAATTGGTGGTACCTGTGCGTAATGCACGTTATTGCTTAAATGCGGCAAATGCACGTTGGGGTTCTTTATACGATGCGCTTTACGGTTTTGACGTGATCTCTGAAGAAGGTGGCGCGGAAAAAGGTAAAGGCTATAACCCTGTTCGCGGCGATAAAGTTATCGCATTTGCTAAGAATTTCTTAAATGAAACATTCCCATTGGCAAATGGTTCACATGCAGATGCAACAAAATATGCTGTTGAAGGCAAAAAACTTGTTGTAACCCTTAAAGACGGTTCAACCTCGACTTTGGCGAAAGAATCACAATTTGTCGGTTTTAATGGCGACGAATCTGCACCCGTTGAAATTGTACTTTTAAATAACGGCTTACACGTTGTTATTGAAATTGATGCAAATAGCCCAGTGGGTAAAACTGATGCGGCTGGTGTTAAAGATCTTGTTTTAGAAGCTGCTGTTACCACGATTCAAGATTTGGAAGACTCGATTGCTGCTGTAGATGCAGAAGAGAAAGTAGAAGGCTACCGTAACTGGTTAGGTCTAATGAAAGGTACGCTTGAAGAATCAATTGAGAAGAACGGTAAAACCGTGACGCGTACATTGAATAAAGATCGTACACATAAGAATTTGATCGGTGGTGAAACAACACTTCATGGTCGTTCATTGATGCTTCTTCGTAACGTTGGTCATTTAATGACGAACCCTGCGATCCTTGTAGATGGTGCTGAAATCTACGAAGGTATTATGGATGCTTTAATTACACCATTATTGACTTTCGCAGACATCAAAGGTCAAAACGAAAACAAAAACTCGCGCAAAGGGTCAATGTATATCGTTAAACCAAAAATGCATGGTCCAGAAGAAGTTGCATTCGCTGTTGAATTGTTTGAACGTTCTGAACAAGCACTGGGCTTACCAGCGAAAACTTTGAAAATCGGGATTATGGATGAAGAACGCCGTACATCTGTAAACTTGAAAAACTGTATTGCACAAGCGAAAGACCGTACTATTTTCATCAATACTGGTTTCATGGACCGTACAGGTGATGAAATTCATACCTTTATGGAAGCAGGTCCTTTCGTTCGTAAAGGCGAAGTGAAAAGCCAAATTTGGTTCCCAGCTTATGAAAACCGTAATGTGATGGTAGGTCTACAAGCAGGTTTACGTGGTAAAGCACAGATTGGTAAAGGTATGTGGCCTAAACCTGACATGCTTTTAGACATGTATAAAACCAAAATTGAACATCCTGAAGCGGGTGCGAGCTGTGCATGGGTTCCTTCACCATCAGGTGCTGTGATTCACGCGATTCATTATCATCAATGTAATGTTTCAGCACGCCAACAAGAGTTATTGAAAACTGAAGCGCTTCCGTTAGATGACTTGTTGACACCGCCTTTAGCGACAGATACAAACTGGACTGAAGAAGAGAAGACCAAAGAGCTTGAAAATAACCTTCAAGGTATCTTGGGTTATGTTGTTCGTTGGGTTGATTTAGGTGTGGGTTGTTCTAAAGTGCCAGACATTAACAATGTCGGTTTAATGGAAGACCGTGCAACGTTACGTATTTCTTCTCAACACGTTGCGAACTGGTTGCGTCATGGTATTGTGACTAAAGCGCAAGTTGAAGAAGTTATGCAGCGTATGGCGAAGATTGTTGATGAGCAAAATGCCAACGATCCTGAATATAGCAACATGGCGCCTGGTTTTGACGGTTATGCATATAAAGCTGCTTATGATTTAGTATTCAAAGGTGGTGAACAGCCGTCTGGTTATACTGAGCCATTATTGCATGCGTATCGCTTAAAGTTAAAAGGCTATACAGGCGATTAATTTTATCGTCTAATTTATCCTATTCGATTATCAATAAAGCCTCTTCGGAGGCTTTATTCTTTTTATGGTTTATTTTAAATGTTGCTTTGCTTTCATATATAAAATTTGTAGACCCGACTTTGAGTTTTAAGCCAATAAGATAAAATCTCTGATACAATTTAAGGGAATTAATCATTAAGCTGAATTATAAATGACATCAATTCTGAAATTAGATGCGCTGAAAAATGCTGAAGTTGCAAATACGCCTTATCCGTATTTTGTGGTTGAAAATGCTTTGGCTGACAGTGAAGTCCAGGCAGTAATCCAAGACTTTCCTAAAATTGAACAGGGCGGAAGCTTTAACATCGAAGATGTAGAAATTAAGCCTAATTTTGATCGCTTTCTAAAATCATTGGATACACCAGAATTTCGTCAAATTTTAACAGATAAATTTGATGTCAATGTGATGGAACATCCGATGATGATTACTTTACGTGGCTACTCTCGTCAAAAAGATGGGCGGATTCATAGTGATTCAAAAAGCAAATTGTTGACGGTTTTGATCTATTTAAATGAATCTTGGGATGCACCAAATGGACGTTTACGTATCCTCAATGACGATAAAGACATCAATAACTATGTGACTGAAATCAATGCAGGACCAGGCTCACTGGTTGCATTTAAAGTGACTGACAATGGTTGGCATGGCTATATTCCTTATGAAGGGCAACGTCAATCTATTCAAATTAACTTTTTGACCAGCGAAAAAGCCAATGCAAAACATAAGTTTTTCCATGGTTTAAGTGCCAAGGTAAAAAAGATTTTTGGATAAAAGCAAAGAGGATAAATTTCGGTTTATCCTCAATTTAAATTGCGAGCTGTCTCAACTTTTTATCAATGTCTAAGGTTCTTATCAATGGATAGCGGCGATAGATAGATTCCACAATTATAAATTAATCATTTAAAATCTTATTATTATGTGTGCTAATTTTAAACCGATCAGCTTAATACAAGTTCAGCAGCTTGGCTTACCCGCGATACCTTTCTCGTATGAAGATGAAATATTTCCAAGCTTTCAAACGCCGTTATTATTTAAATCTAATCAAGGGATTGAATGGCGTTTAGTCAACTTTGGTTTAGTGCCAAAATGGGCTGAGGATAAAGAAGCAGCAAAACATACTTATAATGCAAGAAATGAAACGCTGATGGAAAAGCGCAGTTTTGTCGAGGCTTTTAGCAAGTGCCAGTTTGGCGTGATCCCCGTGACAGAGTTCTATGAATCCAAATACATCAATGGCCGACCACAGCGTTGGGGGGTAAGGCGTAAAGATGATCTAGCTTTTTATATTGCGGCATTGTATGAGATTACCCGATTAAAAACCGGTGAAGTTGTTCGTTCAGCTACCATGATCAGTATGGACGCCCACACCCATCCGATGATGAGTGAATTCCATGAACCTCGAACAGATAAGCGTTCGGTGGTAGTCATTCCACATCATCGACTTGATGAGTGGTTGGGTTTACAACAGCCCAATATTTCGAGTTTTATTGAGGGTTTCCCTGTGGCGGAGTTTGAGTGTTTTTATTGCCCCAAAATATCAAATAACAAAAACTCGCCACAGTTGAACATCTTTGATGAAGAATCTTAAGGATTAATGTGCAAGATTCTTAAAGATGATTTTTAAATTTTCCATGGTTTTTTCAATTTGTAGTGGTGTTAAACCGTCAAATGACTGTTCAAGTACAACACTCATTAAATCATTAATTTTTAGCGTCATTTGTTGACCAGCTTCTGTTAAATGTACCCGTGTAATACGTGCATCATGTTCACAAGAGTAGGTATCCACAAAGCCTTCCTCTTTTAAGCGATAAACAATTTTGGTTGTCGTCGACATTTTTGAAACGATCATTTCCGAAAGCTCAGAAACACTTGCATCTGGTTTGGCTTCTAAAGCAACTAATAATCGTCGTCTAGAATTGTCTACCCCATACTTTTTAAGTACGTGATCTAAATTTAAAACATACTGAGAATGAACTTGGCTGATCCAATAGTATGGGAAATTTTCGATATTAAAATTTTCAGCTGCAGGTAAAAATTTTGCATATTTTTTAGTCATTTAGAGGTCCCTGTTTTTTGTAATTATTGCCATATATTAAGCGGTAATCATATTTTACTTTGAATACTTGAATCAATATGTGATAGATCACTTAATGAAAAAAACAAGTAAAATCGACGAAATGTAAATTTTGCTTGAACCAAACTTAAGTTAAAGTATTCAGTAAAGGCATTGTATAACTGTCTTAAATTAGATAAAAAGTAGTAATACCTTGCGTAAATTTAGTCGCTTCTTCATGCAATTTAGAATGAACAGAGTTCATTCTCTAGTTGTTAGTGTGGAATCGAAAGTTTCAAAACAACCGCAAAGGTTGATTTTATTGAAAGTCATTGAATGTCCCTGTGTCATAGTGGCTCCTCCTACGTATATTTCAGCTTGCTTAAGTATGAAAATTACCAAGAAGATGTTGTTAAAAGCAAGCTTATTAGTTAAAAAAATTAACATCTGATGTTATTTTAACTGAAAAATAAGAAAAATCAACTTGGCTTTACTGTTAATAATTAGGTTTGATTACGTCATAATGGGAATAAATCTAAGTATTTCCTCCCTAAATGCCCATATATCCGATTGAAAATCATTAATTAAATTAAAGCGATTTATACCGTTAGAAGGTAAATAGCATTTAATAACTATAGTTATACACAATTTATATTGAAAAAAGCTAATGACATTTTTGTTAGATTGAGTGAAAAATAATTTGAATAAGATGAATCGGCATCTGTAAAGCATCGAATTGATCATGCGAGGCAGGGATTACTTACAATTCACCCGTATCGCAAGGTTAATCATAAGAAAAATCTTAAATAAATGTAAAATTTTTGTGAAAATTAATTACAACTGCAAGATATTGTGCATAATTAATCTAATTTAGTTGAAAAGGTTTCATTCATGGATCCGTCGTCGTGTAGGTCAAATTTATTTTTCTTCTTATATATTGATAATAATAAGCAGGAGCTCTAATAATGGAATTTTTATTAGACCCTGGAATTTGGGTTGGTCTTTTAACCCTAATTGTTTTAGAAATTGTACTAGGTATTGATAACCTGGTCTTTATCGCCATTCTTGCAGATAAACTTCCTCCTGAACAACGAGACAAAGCACGTATTATTGGCTTATCTTTAGCCTTAATTATGCGTTTAGGCTTGCTGTCTATTATTTCGTGGCTGGTCACATTAACCAAGCCTTTAATCGCTTTTGGCGGGTTGTCTTTCTCAGGTCGAGACTTAATTTTATTATTCGGTGGACTGTTCCTCGTCTATAAAGCCGTCACTGAACTACATGAAAAAATGGAAGGCAAACCTGAGGTTAAAAGTTCAGGTGCAGTTGTTTATGCAAGCTTCTGGGCAGTTGTGGCGCAAATCATCGTTTTAGACGCAGTATTCTCTCTTGATTCGGTGATTACCGCGATTGGTATGGTCGACAATATCTATGTGATGATGGCCGCTGTAACGATTGCTGTGGTTGTGATGTTGATTGCTTCTAAACCGTTAACAGCATTTGTCAATAAGCATCCGACAGTCGTGATTCTATGTTTAAGTTTCTTATTGTTGATTGGTGTGAGTTTAATCGCTGAAGGTTTTGGTTTCCATATTCCGAAAGGCTATATTTACTCGGGTATTGGTGTGGCAATTTTAATTGAAGCCTTTAACCAATTTTCCAGCCGTAATGTTGAAAAGCATCAGTCGAAAACGCCGTTGCGTCATCGTACCGCAGACTCAATCTTAAAATTGATGGGAAGTAAGCTGGATGCAGATTTATTACAAAGCCCTGAAGCTTTAGCTGCTCAAAAAGCCTTTGGTGATGAAGAACGCTATATGGTTGGTGGTGTATTGACACTTGCTGAACGTTCAGTTGCCTCAATTATGACGCCAAGAAATCAAATTTCGTGGATCAATCTTGAAGATGATGCGGAAAGTATTCGTCAGCAAATCTTGGCTGTACCACATAGTTTATTCCCGGTATGTCGCGGACAATTGGATAAAGTGGTTACGGTTGTACGTGCTAAAGAGTTAATTGATGTATTGGATGAACCAGAGCAATTACAAGCCTTGCTTAAACGTAGTCGTCCGATTTTTATTTTTGAAAAAATGAAAGTGATTGATGCTATTCATACTTTAAGAACGTCTAAGGGTTCTTTGGTCTTGGTAAGTAACGAATTTGGTAATATCCAAGGTTTGATTTCTCCGTTGGATGTGTTTGAAGCAATTGCGGGTGAATTCCCAGATGCAGATGAACAGTTAGAGTTGATCAAACTGAATGATACAACGTGGAAAGCATCAGGTATGCTTGACTTGTATCAGCTTGAGCTGGAACTTGGCATGTTGGATCTAGTTCAAGAAGACTCAGGTTACTTTAGCGTAGCAGGTTTGATTTTAGACAAGACTCAAGGCGAAGCAAAAGTAGGCACTCAGATTGAACAAGAGGGCATTTGGTTTGAAGTCATCGAAATGGATGAAAATCGGATCAAGACGGTAAAAATTACCCGTCCAGAGCAATTTTCGTAACTGTTTTACGATTAAATCGCAAGCAGATATAAAAAACTAAAAAAATGCCTCATTAATGAGGCATTTTTTTTGAATAAAAAGAGCACTTAGATAGGATTACTTATCTAAGTACTTGAAACTAAAAATTAATTTAAAATATTTTGTGCCATTGTTGGCCATAAATTTTGATGTGACTTCTTAAACATTAACATATGACCAATGGCTTTATGGCCTGTATCTTTCGGTTTAAGCTCTATCATTTCTGTGGTGGCTTTTGGATACAAGCGAAGTAAGTCTTTGACATTGGCTTCTGTAGCGATCTCATCATCCGATGACCAATACACCGTAATTGGGCATTGAATTTCGTTGTGATAGTCCTCGAAAATCGTTTTACCTATAGCGTTCATCACATAACCGGGTTTACTGCAAAATTCAGCCCATTGTTTTGCAACATTTTTGGGTAAATTTTCTCCCATGCCTAAAAACTTGGTTGCGCCATAGCCTTTGACTAAGCTTGAAACAGGGAAGATCATTTTAAACATGACAGGCGCCATACGTTTGGTTCGCCCTTTAAGTCCTTTTACATGTCCTGTAGAGCCTGAAATTGCAATTACTTGTGCTACTTTCTTGTAATTAGAAACAATGCCTAGTAATTGTCCCCCAGCACTATGACCTAAGAGTATGACTTGTTCTTTGCCTGTTTTATTCAGCAATGTTTCAATAGCAGCAGGAATATCCAGTTGTCCCCAGTCTTGGATACTTGCAGTGGACTGACGAATAGGACCATGTAAAGACTCACCTATACCACGAAAATCGAAGACTAGTACATCTAAACCTTGTTGGGCAAGCCATTCTATAAAATGATGATAAAAACCTTGGGTAATACCTGTTGCAGGACAAACCAAAATAGGCAATTGATGGGTTGATTGTTTTGCCGGATAAAAACGTGCAGTTAAGCTATAGCTATCTGCACAAGTTATGGTTAAATTTTCAAATGTATTCATAACAATTCAATGGGTATGCTTTAATGATTACTTTACATAAGTTCTAAAAAGAAACTTGATGAAAGTATGACTTATGAGTCAAAGGTAATATAAATATTTTAAGCTGTTGGAATTAGGATGTTTTAAATGGATTTAGTGAGTTTAAGTTTGTCGGTAAAGTTAGCTTTAATATTTAGTGGGATTTATCTATGGGTGGGTATGCTAACAGGGGTTTGGAAATATTACCAAATTAGTCGATCAGAAATGGCTCGAGCTCATTATTATGTCGATATCGCACATCGCAGTAGCTTGCTTTATGCTCCAGCCACTTTGATTTTAGCGGTGATGGCCTATTGTTCAAGCTGGACAGAAACCACAAATTTAATATTTGTCTTGATTAATTTATTCTTTTTTAGCTTTTCAATTGCCAGTTATGTTTTGCATGGTTTTTTAAAAGATACGACAAATCAATTCAAAGAACCGCACCAATTAGGAACAATGCACTTACCGAAAATATTGTTACGTATCGCAATGCTGTTATTGGTACTCGGGGAGATTGTTGCGACTGGAGGATTATTACTAGGAATGTTTAATACTTTGTTTTAATACTTAAATTTTTATGATTTTCTTATTTAAGATGGATGCATGGCATCCATCTTTTATTCTGTAATCTTCGCGAGTTTACGAGATTTATGATCGACTACATCCCAAACATAGAAGGCAGCAGAAACGACTAATGCATAGGCAAAAAATTCAGGTTTTAAATTGCCTTGAATGAGTCCATGAATAAACAGAGTCACTAAAAGTGCAAGTGTTGTACTTAGATAGATGACCAGTTTTGTATTTGTCTTCAAAGAATTAATGAAGACTTGCTTATTGAAATGTATTGATAACATCCCCATTCCTCCTGTCTGCTCGACAAAAACCACATTGTTTTAGTCTGGATTGGTTTATTCAGTTGTACCATATCTAATTATTATTTCAAGAGCAAATAGCTCTATTATTCAAAATAATTATGACATATTTATTACAAGTGATGATTATTTTATAAAAAATGAAAATATAAGTGATTTTTTTGATAAATGATGTAATTGTTGTTGAAGTAGTGTGAGCTAGTTATCAAAATAAAATACAATAACTGAATAGGTCTTGAAAGTATTTTCGACTAAAGTTGATAAAAATTATGCAATATTTATGCAAAAATCGAAAAAAATGACTATTTTTTCAAAATAATTCAATTTTGGCATGGAGAACGGTTCACTCATTCAAAAAAAGCAACAACGCGACTGAATTTATCTTTGTTGAATTAAAATTAAGTTTTAGTATTTTTTAGCCAAAAGTTTTTTATACATAGCGCAAAGCTTGATTCGATCTATTCAGGTGCATTGATCACATGTTTGAAGCACTAAGATGGATCAAAGAACGCTTTAAAAATTGTGTCGCAAACAATAACGGCCTGTGGGGTAAACATGACAATTATTGATCACTGTTAAAATAAGATTTGGGTAAAATCAAATTTTAAGGATGATAATTAAAAAGCTTTATTTTTTAACTTTATCAATTACGACACAGATGATTAACACGATCAATGATGGGATCACCCATGCAAGATTCTGTTCATTTAACGGTAAGTTTTGAATCATCAAAGGTAAGCTGTCTTTAAAGCTTGTGACTTTAATTCCTTCAATAAGACCAAATAAAAATGCAACGCCAGTAACAGGTGCGATAACCGTGGTTGGGTTATTGAATTTACCCCAAAAGAAGCTCAATAGAATGACCACAATTGCTGGTGGGTAAATTGCACTGAGTACGGGAACTGAAAAAGCAATCAGTTTGGTTAAACCTAGATTTGAAATCACCAATGAAAACAACACCAAAATAACCACTAAAACTTTATATGGAATTTTTGTCAGTTCAGAGAAGTATTCAGCACATGCGCAGGTTAAACCAATCGCAGTAACCATACATGCAATAAAAATCAAAGCTGTCAGGAATAAAGAGCCTAAGTCACCAAAAGCATGTTGAACATAAGCATGCAGGATCACTGCGCCATTTTCAGCATTTGGAGCAGCATCATGACTGCCTAAACCAAGTTTAAATAAGCTGAGATAAACCAGCGTTAAACCTACACCAGAAATCAAACTTGCAATAATGGCATATTTGGTTACGAGCTTTTTATCTGTGACACCACGAGAGTGGATAGCGTGGATAATCACAATACCGAAAACCAAAGCGCCTAAAGTGTCCATGGTTAAATAACCATTTACAAAACCTTCAGAAACAGGGCTGGTAGCGTAATTGTTGATCGCAGGAGAAATTGAACCAGTTGGGATCAGAAATGCTGCAATACCTAAAATTGCCAGTGCAATAATTTTTAGCGGCGCAAGAATATGACCCACTGTATCCAATAATTTATTTGGATAAAGAGAAACTAAAGTCACAAATGCAAAATAGATAACGCTATAAATGAATAATGCTGTACCACCATTTCCAAAGTATGAGGAAAAACCAATTTCATAAGAAACAGTTGCAGTACGAGGTGTAGCAAATAATGGCCCAACCGAGAGATAACACACTACAGTCAATATTAAACTTGCAACTTTACCTAAAGGCGAGCTTAAAATCGCAATAGAACCTTCAGTTTTAGAAAGTGCCATAATGGTAATAACAGGTAAGCCTACAGCTGTGACTAGAAAACCTAGCGCTGCGAGCCATACATGTTCACCGGCTTGTTGAGCAACAATGGGTGGAAAAATAATATTGCCTGCCCCAATAAATAAGGCAAAGGTCATAAAACCTAAAGCAATAATATCCTTTGTACGGAGATTAGTCATAAACTGTGGTTGAAAAAGCAAAACAGCGATTTTAGTAGAAATAGCTTATTTTTTGTATTTTATTTTATGGATAATATTCCCGTTTTTTATAAATTTTAACCAATTAGTCATATTGATTATATTTATGTGGATGATTCACAGTTAATTTTCAAAAATTGAAAAAATCAAAATTTTCAAAAAATATAGAATAGATAAAATCATCATATGGAAAGATTATACTTATTCTAAAATTTATGTGCTTGATTTTGCATTTTTATTGAATAAGATAGGCGGTAAATTGCCCTAAATGTATTGAAAAGGCATATAATATTTTTTCACTTTTGCGGACAGATCCAATGAAAGCTTCTACAGTCACCATTAAAACCGAACAAGACCTTGAAAAATTAAGAGTGTCGGGGCGTTTAGCTGCTCAAGTTTTAGCAATGATTGGTGAATATGTGGAGCCAGGGGTGACGACTGAGTATTTAGACGATATTTGCAATGATTTTATTGTCAATACGCTGAAAGTGATCCCTGCAAATATTGGATATTATGGTTATACCAAAACCACCTGTATTTCTCCAAATGAAGTGGTCTGTCACGGTATCCCATCAAAACATAAGGTTTTAAATGATGGCGATATCATCAATATCGATGTTGCGATTATCAAAGATGGTTATTTTGGTGATACCAGCCGTATGTACTATGTGGGTACAGTTAAACCTGAAGCGAAAAGACTGGTTGAAACGACTTATGAGGCAATGGTGGCTGGGATTCATATGGTCAAACCTGGTGCAACACTCGGGGATATTGGCCATGCGATCCAACAAGTTGGGCAACGTGAAGGTTATACGATCGTTCGTGAATATTGTGGTCATGGGATTGGTAAGATTTATCATGAGCAACCCAACGTATTACATTATGGTCAACCCGGACAGGGCTTAGTGCTTAAAAAGGGTATGGTTTTTACCATTGAACCAATGATTAATGCGGGGAAATCCAGTGTCAAAGAGCTGAAAGATGGCTGGACTGTGGTTACTGCGGATAAGTCATTGTCAGCACAATGGGAACATATGGTTGCTGTCACAGATACAGGATTTGAATTGCTTACACCTTGGCCTGAAGGCACTGGCAACTACCCTGAGATTTAATCTTTAGACTTTGGTCTAATGAATGAATTATGATCGGCGATTTATTGTTTTTTTATCTTTGAAAATGAGATTTTTCTCACTTTATTTGCTGGAAATGTGGTTCTTTTAGGGGATGTTTTCGGTTGAGAAATATCCAATAAGTGTTTTTAAGTATTGGCTTAAATATTAACCAATCGCTAAGATAGCTTCCAGATTCTCGCTGTAGTTTCTATTGTTGTTTCAAGCTTTCTAGCTTACCCATCCTAGGGTAAGCTTTTTTTTGTCTATCGCTTCTCGATTTGCTTTGATTCGACGATTGAAAATTTAAAATAAGATGAATGAGCCTCCATTCATCTTATTGATCAGAATGCTATTTTTTAAGTTTAAAGTTTAAAATAAACGAAACAGCGAATCCAAATAGGAGTCCCCAAAAAGCGGAACCAATCCCAAAAAACTGAACACCTGATGCACTGAATAAGAAGGTGAGCAGTGCGGCTTCACGATCTTTGACTTCATGAAATGCAATCGCAATATTATGGCTAATCGTACCAAACAAGGCGATCCCCGCTAATGCCACAATAAAAAGATGTGGAAAAGACATCAATAGACTTGTCAATGTTGCCGCAAATAGCCCCATCAAAATATAAAAGAAACCACAGCTCATGCCAGCAATATAGCGCTTCGCAGGGTCTGGGTGAACTTGGTCATCCAGACTGACTGCAGCACTGATTGCAGCAATATTCACGGTATAACAGCCAAATGGTGCAAGCAAAGTCTGCGCTGTACCTGTCCAACCAATAAGTTGGTTAACATGGGGTTTATAGCCATAACTTTTAATCATCGCAATCCCTGGTAAATACTGAGATGCCATATTGATTACAAATAAAGGCAGTGCCAATCCGAGAATTGCAGACCATGTGAACTCAGGTGTCATCCATACTGGTTTTGCCAATCCCCACTGTAAGGTTGGAACATGAAACTCCATAAAAAATGGACAAATGATAATTCCTGCGATCACGGTAATCACAATACAATAACGAGCCCATAGCCGTTTAGTGATGATATAAACCGTCAAAAGGCTGAGAATAAATGCCCAGTCGTTTTGCATACTGGCAAATAGAGCAATACCAAACTTGAGTAATACACCTGCCAGCATGGCACTGGTCAAACTCTGAGGAATATACGAAATAATTTTTTCAAATATGCCTAAAAAGCCTAGTGTGGCGGTCAGTAAACCACTCACTAAGAAAGCACCAATGGCTTCATAGAGTGAGTAGCCGCTGGCAGTGGCAATGATGAGTGCAAGTGCAGCGGTTGACCATGAGGTAGCAACAGGATATTTGAATTTCCAAGAAAGAATTAATCCTGAAAGACCTATACCTAAACCGAGTGCCCAAAACCAAGAGGTAATTTGTTCAGGGTTTGCGCCAAGTAATTGAGCCGCTTGTATGACGAGTACAGCCGAAACACTGATACCAATTAAGAAGGTAATGAAACCTGCAAATACAGCAGGTATAGAGAAGTCTTGGAGTAACTTTTGCATGATCCCTTGCTTTTAAATTTGATTGAATGGTTGAAAATGCAACCATCATACATGGATCATTTTAAAGCTTATAGGGTTAATTGGAATTAAATAGCAAAAGGAAAAATAAAATTGAATAAATTCTCATTTTTGGAGAATTTGGCTTTTTAAAAATTAAAACAGTTTAGTCGAAAGTAATTTATACTTACTTATAAAGATTAGATATTGCCTTGAATAGAAAGCGCAGTTTATCCAAAAGAACGATCCAAAAAGAATGCTTTTAATCGGGAGATTTATTTAGCTAAATCAGCTTACATGGTTGAAACGGCAAGCTTTATTCCAAAAGCACAGAACAGTAGGCCTACACAAGCAACACAACCTGCAGCAATTTTGTAGCGTGTATTGAAAAAAGTGGCGAGTTTAACGCCTGAGAAGATTAAGATCGTCAAATAACCCATACTGATGATTTGCAGAATCACTGAAAGTGCCGCAAAACTTAAAGCAGGGTAAGGGTAATCAGGATCGACAAACTGAACAAAGAACGAGAGATAAAATAAAATTGCTTTTGGGTTGAGTAAGCTAATGGTGAGTGCTGTTCGAAATGGATGGAATTGTTCGTTAGATGCAGTATTCGATGTATTTGTTTGCAGCGTTTGTGGTTTGCTTTGCCAAGTTTTGATACTTGCGATCAGTAAACGAATACCGAGATAAGACAGATAGCTTGCACCAACAACTTTGAGAATGATAAATAACCAAGGAAAGGCATGTAGTAGAGAGGCAGCACCTAAAACAGTGCAGAGAATCAGGATTAAATCTCCTGTAAAGACGCCTAAAGCACCGATATAGCCCGTTTTAATTCCAAATCGAGAGGCAATTGACATCACATACAATGAGTTAGGACCGGGTAAAATGACGATAAAAATAGTCCCTAGTATATATGTCACAATATCGGTAATACCAAACACAACATTCTCACTGTATAAGAAAAGCGAAATAAAAAAGCCGAGCGTTTATGATAACAAACTCGGCTTTAGAGTGTGAGCGATTTTAGTGCAATTTTAACCAAAAGCGCATCTACAATTTAGATTTATATAAATCATTCTAAATACATAGATTAGTCAATAAAATCAGCATCTAGGCCAAAAGATTGACGCAATAATAATGCAAGTTGTTCACGCGCTTTGATAAAACCGTCAATCCCGCTTTGCAATAATTGGAATGCCATTAAATCAGCTTCCAATTGTTGTTTAAATTCAGCTTTAGAAATCTCTTGATGTTCTTGAGCAGTCAGTTCAGTGTCTAAGCTGAGTTGAGAAACAACATGACGTTGATCATTGTTCAATTTTTCAAGCAGACCTGGTGCAACGGTTAAAAGATCACAACCAGCTAAACCTAAAACTTGGTCAATGCTACGGAAGCTAGCACCCATCACTTCAGTTTTAATTTGATGCTGTTTGTAGTAATGATAAATTTGTTTAACAGACAATACGCCTGGATCTTTCTCAATTGGATAGCTTTCTACATTTTCAGCTTTTTTAAACCAATCTAAAATACGACCGACAAATGGAGAAATCAAAGTAACATTGGCATCTGCACAGGCTTTGGCTTGGTGTAAACCAAAAAGCAGGGTTAAGTTACAATGAATACCTTCTGATTCAAGTACTTTCGCAGCTTGAATACCTTCCCATGTAGAAGCAATTTTGATCAGAATACGGTCTTGATCGATCCCATATTCTTTATACAATGCAAGTAGCTCTTTAGCCTTGGCAATGGTTTCTTCGGTATTATAGGAAAGGGCTGCATCTACTTCTGTTGAAACACGACCTTCTACAATATTTAAAATTTCTACACCGAGTTTGACGGTGAGAATATCGATGGTGCGTTCGACGAGTGCATCTAATTCATAACCTTCTTTTTTTGCTTGAGCATAGGCATCTTCAATTAGCTCACGACTTTCAGGCTGTTGTGCTGCTGCTGTAATGAGTGAAGGGTTAGTCGTTGCATCCAAAGGGCGAAATTGTTGAATTGCGTTTAAATCACCTGTATCAGCAACGATAGTGGTTAAGCGTTTTAATTGATCTAATGCAGATTGTGTCATTACCGATTATTTCTTAGTTAAAATATTTGTGATTTATTTATAACACAATGCGATTTGAGCAAAACAGGAAAATGTACTGAAAGGCCTATTATTTTGTATGAATTCTTTGATTTCGAATGTGATTAATCAAAAAACGAGCAGCTGAGCCTAAGTTGCTCTCACGACTCCAGACTAAGTCGACAAAATATTCAAATTTTGGTGTGAAATCGAGCAAATCTAAGATTTTTAACTTATGTTTGAGCTCTGGATTTTCATTAAACATTTCTAAGGGAAGTACCCCCCAACCCAGTTCTTTTAAAATTAAAGCACATGCTGAGTGGTGATTGTCAGTACGCCAATAGTTTTTAGAATAGAGTAATTCGGGTTTAATGGTTCGATCACGACTTGCCACGACAATTTGTCTGGATTGTAGGATTTGTTCAAAAGTAACTTGTTTATGTGCTGATAATGGGTGATGAATAGCTGAAACAGGAACCAAGGCTTCTTTTTTAAATTCGACAAATTGCTCACGGCTTTCAAGTATTTCACGTTCAAACATCAATGCCAGTTGTGCCGTCTGATTCATCAGCATTTTCAGCGCATCTTCTTGTGGTGCTGAGAAGATATTAATTTCTAAAGTTGGAAAGTGCTCTCCCAGCAGTGCAATGTATTCAGCCCAGTCTGTATGCAATAATTCTGAAACCACCACGATATTTAATGAGGATTCCAAGCCTTCGCTAAGCGCAATCGCTTGTTGTTTCCACTGATTCATTTCTACCAGCAGTTGTTCAGTTTTTTCATATAAGCGTTGAGCTTGAGGTGTGGGTATTGGTTCACGCCCTACACGATTAAAGAGTTTTAGATTTAAGTCTATTTCCAAGTTGGCGATAGACATACTGACAGCGGAGGGAACTTTGCCAAGCTGTCGTGCTGCTGCTGAAAATGAACCTGTTTCCATCACCGTTTTAAAGATGGTGAGTTGTTCTTGGTTGATATTCATGCGCTTGGCACCATTATGTTTAGTTTTTCAGTCTTTAAATTTACTCCAATTCACGCAACCTTTCAATAAAATTGAAAGAACCTGACTCGATTGATCAATATTATAAAAATATAATGCAACCATCGAATCAAGAAAGAGTAGTTTTAAATGATGATTTCCAAAAGAAGGGTTATTCATGCATTAAGCTATGAAGTCATCCTGTTGGTGATCATAGCGATTGCATTAAGTTTTATTTTTGAAGTGCCAATGGAAGTTACCGGCGTATTAGGTGTTGCAATGGCCGTGACTTCAGTGGTTTGGAATATGGTGTTTAACCATTTCTTTGAGCAATTTGAACGTAAGAGAAAGCTTAAACGTACCATTAGTGTACGTATTTTACATGCCATTGGTTTTGAGGGGGGGTTGATGTTAGCCACGATTCCAATGGTTGCTTACGCAATGGATATGTCTTTGTGGCAAGCAATTTTATTGGATTTCGGAATGACCACCTGTATTTTGGTGTATACCTTTATTTTCCAATGGTGTTATGACTTGATTGAAGAGCGTATGGGGGCAAAACCTGTACATTCTTAATTAAGCCTGCAATGCATTTATTCTAAATTTTAGTGAAAATTTCAGATGTGTTGCGATAAAGCTCCCCTTAGTTTTATTGAAAACTAAGGGGAGCTTTTTTATAAAAATTTAATTAAATCAATTTTCTGGAAAATTTGTTTGATTATAAAAAACTGCAATGCCACACCTTACATTCAAAGTTTAAATGCCTTTGCGTAGGCGATGCCTCACTTTTCGTAAGAGATTCCAAACCTTGCGCTGCAAACAAAGCTATGCTTTGTTTTTGCTCATGTTTGGCGAGGGGTACGTCCTTTACCCCCGCCCAACGGCGACATCCCTGTCGCCCCACGATAGGATCACCATCTATGATTCAAAAGTACAAAAATAAATTGATAACCAATTGTTACTCAAAGTTCATATAAAAACATAAGCTTCATTTATGATCAGTTGCTTGATAGAAGTCACTTGTATAAATAATTAGGTGGTTTGACTATAAGGAATAAAAACTAGGTAAAACATAATCAATAAAGATAAAAAACCGTTACACGATCACAGCTCAGTTTAAACAAACTTTTGCAAAAGATAATTGGAATTCAATTTGTTTTGTAAAATTGTTCGCCTACAATAGGGTCTGTTAACATTTCATAAATGGCTTGCGTTGTAGGCTAAAATTGAGCAGGCAAGGCATGAAACGAAGAGAATAGCGAGACTATTTTCGAGTTTCATAACACAGACTGAGATAATTTTAACCACAACCCTTCGGGACTAGAGTTTTTTGTCGCTACGTCGTTACGAACTACTCATTTAGCTGACTAAATTTCGTATTTCGTGCCTCGAATCGTCTAAAAAAACTCGTTGTCGCAAACATAGAAGAAGTGTCAACAGACCCTAATAAATTCAATATATGTAAGAGATGGATTGAGGCAAATATGGTGCAGACAGTTCAGGAGCAGCTGCCACATAGACACCAGCTTGCTGCTCAAGAATTACTTCAGGTTTCAGCAAATTTAAATAAGATTTATCTTGATCAATTTGACTATTTGTCCGAGATTACTGCGCACAACTTTTTCCAGTTTGATCCACAACAGCATAAATTCAGTCTGGCAAATCAGTTACTCAATATCTATTTTGATGAAGAAAAGGGTTTGATTTTTGCTTTAAATTTTGAAAAGTTACCGCGTTCATTAGAAAATAAAATCAATATTAATCGTTTTGTTCAATATTTCTCAGAAAATATTTATTTTTATACAACAAAATATCATGAGATACATCCGACTGATTTAAAGACCAAAGCCCAAATCATTCGCCAAACACTGATTGAACAGGTTTTTGAGTGGGTGGATGGTGAAAATCGGGTAGAGCAGTATTTATATAATATTAGTGAAGCAGATGCAGAGCGTATTGATCAAATTTTGCTGCACTATGAATATTTTGATTATGCCTATGTTTCTGATTTTGCTAAATATGGTAAAGCGATCCCTTTAAGTGTTGAAATTAATATTAAGCATTTAGTGCTGATTAATTCTGTATTGGGTCAAGAGTTTTTGCCGATTCAGTTATTGGTACCTAAATTTCAACAGGCCATTTTTTCTTTAGATCAGTTTATTCCAGCGCATTATTTGCGTATTTTAAAGATTTTCCACCCAGAATCATTACGCTTACACGAACTCAGTCAGTATTTTGCAAGTTATCAATTACTGGCTGTACATGCTCAAGAACAACCGCAAATGCTTGCTTATGCAAAATATATGAAACGAGGCTTTTGGCAATATCAGGATTTATTGAGCAAGCAGCACTTTTTACAAAAAGATGCTGAATATTGGGAACAGGATCAAGTTCCACAATTTCCAATTTGTAGCCTTAAGCGCACTGCAAATTGGCTATTTAAACAAGATGAACAGGTCAATGATTGGATTAGTCGACATATAAAGGATCCCAATGTCAGGATCACGATCACAGCATTAAGTCTGATTGATACTTCAAAGATTTATCCTGAAGTCACTATAAGTGTTTTAAAGTATTTTAAAAATATTGCAGCGCGGCTATTTTTAATTGAATGCCATTCCTTTGCAATTACAAATGAATGGCAAAATCACCAAAAGAACAATCGTTATAGTTTTTTAAAAACAGAGATTGAAAATAAATCGAATAAGAAAATAATTTCTAATTCTTATTTATATATCGAAGAATGGTTGGATTTCGCTGCGTTGATGTTGGCGGATCAACCACAGATGTATAAAAAAATATACCTTAAAATAAATCGTATCATTCAAGCATTTATGCTGTTTGTACAACACATTGCTCAGTGCTTGCCCACGCAACTGATTAAGTTTATTGATCCGCAACGACAACAACATGCTGAATTTTTTATTCAGTTGCAAAAGCACAATATAACAGTCGATGATTTCCGTAAAAAACTGAAACACATGCAGATTGGTCGTGCATCTAACCATAGTATTTACGACAGCTTTGTTTTGGACTATGTGATGCATTTATTTAATGATCATCACGATATAGAGCGGAATGTCACTTGGTCTGGTCTATATCAACAAGCACAGCGTTGGCATCAACATCATTATTTTGTTGATACCTTATCAACACTTAAAGAAAAAATAGATGTAGAGCATTGGGATCGCGTTGCACCAATGCAAAAGATTTATTTTGAAGAGTGGTGCTATGAAGAACTGAATAGCCTAAAACGAATTATTCAAGAGTCGTTGGTGTTTAAACACTGTTTGGCATTGTCCTATTGTGCGCGGATTGTAGATCGTGAATATGTAGCATTTCATGTATCGAAAGTTGATGATGCGACTCAGGAAATGACTTTGGGTTGTTATTATAAATTAGGACGTTTGGTCTTTGATCAATTGCGTTTACCCAATAATCATATTCCTGATGAGTTTTATATATTGAAAGCTCAAGCTTTTATTGATGATGTAAATCAGCATTTAAAATGGAAAAGCAGTATTCAACCCAATGAAGAATTGGGGAATTTATAGTTTGACGCAGATCATTTTTGAGTGAGCGACTTGGCTTTAATTCACTTTTCATGATGCATTTGGCTTAACTTTTTATGTAAAAATCGTTAGGCTATAGCCGTCCCATCCTGTTTAGGTAATTCAAGGCTGTTATGAAACAAGAAACTGCACTCAAACTTATGAAAGCGGGTGAAAATGTCTTTTTGACTGGATCTGCTGGTGCAGGAAAAACTTATACGCTTAATCAGTACATCAATTATTTAAAAGCACGCAAAGTCCCTGTTGCAATTACAGCATCTACGGGGATTGCAGCAACGCATATGAATGGCATGACGATTCATACTTGGGCAGGCATTGGGATTAAAGATACGCTGACTGATGATGATTTAAAGCGTATGAAAGAGCGTAAATACTTAAAAGAGCATTTAGAAAATGCCCAGGTCTTGATCATTGATGAAATTTCAATGTTACATGCCAAACAGCTTAATTTG